TTGCTACCTAAATATAGTTAACTTAACTTAGGCTTAATGTTATTTTGATAAATTAAAATAAATATACCCTGCGCAGGTTCAGATTAGGTTTTCGTTTTCATAAAAAAAATATCAAAATGCTAGCAGTAAGTCAGCTAAAATACGCGCTCGTTAGGGCATATATATATAATTAGTTATTGCCATGTGGAAGTGATAGCATCACAATGGATACAGCTCATTCACTAATATATACATATGCAAGAAAACCTAAAAAATACATCATATCCATCTATTCTTTATGAAAATAGTTTATTGCCTTTACCCGTTTTACCAATTTTTTTTCAGTATCAAAACTTCAAAGCTTCTTTATCCGCTCAATATCCTCTGAAAAGACTTATTCTAATACTCGCTTTAGAATATTTTCAAAGTTCTTTACCTTCTTTTCGAGAACGCCTGTCCATTCGCCCTACTCTACTCGTACAAATAATGCTATAGAGATTCTGACAATATCAAGGGGTTCTCTTGTTAAAAGGAATTCTTCCATTTTTTAATAGAGTAAAGGTTAAATGTTAGTGAAAGCTCTGCTAAGCGAAGTAAAAAAAATAATGTAAAGGTATAATAAATGACTCCTTCTAGGCTTGCAATCATATTGGGAAAGAGACAGGAGAATATGCAAGGCAATTTACGCCCATGGTTTGAGAATAGCCGTTAAGGCATTTTGCAAGGGCATGCAGAATGTGCATTGAAGATCTCAACATTACATCATATATACTATATATACTTTAATGAGGATCAAAAACATGTTAATTTATGTTGTACACGTTTACATGCATTGACCTTGAGGCGCTTCGCATGGCTGAATAATATAATATTCGGGATCTTTCTCGAAAAATATTTTATTAAAATAGTTATACAGTATATTGCTGAAAATCTAATCCAGAATAAGTAAATCAGGTTTTTTATCTCACAAGTGGTATATTTCACAATTATACTAGGCGATCATATATGCAAATTATATAGCGTAAAAAAATGGAATATAGTTGAGATATTATTCAGTCAAAAGTAATAATCTACATTGCTTAGAATCGGTCAGTCAAAATAATTAAACAATTGTGATTTCTTTCAATCTTATTGTGGTACCTTTTGGCTGATTAAGATGTTTTGTGAACGATAATAAATTATTTTGTTTCGCATACAGAGATGAGATAAATAGTATGTTTAGAGTTGACAAGTGTGGCTCAAAAGCTTGTTGCTTAACCCTTACACGTTCAAGATCACTTAAAGGATCAGAACATTCTTGGTCCCAATGTTCCTATATCATGTCCTTAGCTTCAATCAATTCAACGAATCTATATCATCCATAGTGGTATGTCTTGGTTGGCTTTATTTCATTAACTTGAAATGGTTTCCAGCAACGAAAGCAGATTGCCATATTGTTTTTATGGATTTTAAGACGATAATAAGAATGATATAATTCGTCAAATTCACCTTCACCAAATCCTGCAAACAAGCAGAAACTATGGTATATGCTATTTTCATTTTGTGATAATAAATATTGGAGAGTACCTTTAACTCATAATCCCCACTGCACTAGAGACTCCCCTTTCTCATTATTGATAATTTGTCATAGATTTTTTCATTAGCAAAGAATTTTTTGAAATCGATACCACTCCAGTAATTTCCGAGATATATTTTATAATATTCCATATTATATCCAGGACGATTACTGACGGGTTTAAGTAACCGCCATTGTTTTTTATCAATAATCATATTAATGTTAATAGCACTTGCCAAGGTAACAACCGTCATATTTAGAAAATTATATTGATTTTAGCAATTTCACTGTTTTTTATGATTTATAGTGATTTATAGCAGTTTGTAATAAGTATATTATAATAAAATATCAGATTCATGATTTATTTGATTACAAGCATATTATCTGAGGTTTATATAAGGTTTATATCCAGCTATGTGCCGCATGTAAGGGATTTTCCAATGGCATAATTTAGTTAAATTAGTTTGAGATAATAGCTAATCAGAGATGTATGATGTATATCGTATCACAGGAATTAGGCGTTTTGCATGTGAGCAAAAATAATTTATTAAATGCTTTATATGTTTACAATATTTTCGAAACTACATATAAATTGATTATCAAAGAATCTTTTTCACTACTATTCATAGCATATATGTTCACAGGAGCAGTAAATGAAACGCAGTAAGCACGTGATAGTCACGTTGGCATCAACTCAAGGAGATGCGATCGGCATTGGAGAAATGTTCTATAATATTATGAATTTGAGTGGAGGTTAGCTTTGAAATGTAATCTGCACTATATGATTTAACTTGCTTGATTTTTGATATTCCTATCTCCCTAATTTCTTCACGAGATGTGGAGTGATGGTTTCATCCAAACAACTTATAGATATTCTTAGCTTTGGCAGTCTTCTTACGCAAACTATCTTTTATAAAGCCAGGTAAATGTTATGCAACTTCTTCATATACTTGGGTTCTAGCTTGTTGATCATTAAGCCTGCTATTACCTTCTTGACTTTTTTTCAAAGCTTTCTGCGAATCGATACCAACACAAAATTTTATCTTGGTTGGCCTTCATGACACGTTTTTCCGCAAGACTTGCTTTTTTATATAATCGCACCAAATTTTGTGAAATAGATCCCCACCCTCTTCACTATCATTTTCTTCTTCAGGTTCTCTGGGTATAGATAATTCTTGCAATAAACCTTGTACCTTGTCCTATTCGCGAGAAATTTTGGAAGATGATTCCCTTGATGACTGAATTTGTGCATTATCAGTATTGTTTCCAGCTGTTTGATTAGTTAAATTATCTGCAGAACTTTTCACATCTATAGTAAGACTTGTTGTTTGATCATGCGTAATAGTTTTGGTTATTTTTTCCCCTTGATCTGCAAGAGAATCATCATCTATTAATTCTAGGTCAAGCAAAAGTTCCAATTTACCTCCTACAGTATCATCACTTAGGGGGCCTTTTTTCCTGAAATCCTTATCCTTAAATACCATGTGATATTCACCAGAAGCTAGTATAAGTTCCTCGTTAACAAGTTCGATAGGTGATATACAACTAGAAATA